GAGTCTATGAGTCTATGAGTCTATGGGTCAGTGGTTTTGTTCAGTGATGAGTATTTGCTTTAGGTTTGGGGGTTGTCTGTAAGCGAGGACAGGTCTGTCTCCCAAGATCTGTGAGAGTAAAGGATCATCTTTCAGGATAGGTTGTAGATCTCTGATGATGCGCTGGAGAGGTTTTAGTTGGGGGCTGAAGGTGACAGCTAGTGGTGTTCTGTTATTTTCTTTGTTGGGCCTGCCTCACAGGCATCAGGTCCATCCATGGCTATTAGCCAGGACGGTGTCCCTAGTCTCTGTTTGCCAGGAGCTGGGAACAGGCAACAGGGGCTGGATCACTGGACGATTCCCTGTTCTGTTCATTCCCTCTGGGGCACCTGGCACTGGGTGCTGTTGAGCTAGATCGGGGTTCTCAAACTGGGAGTCGGGCCCCCTCAGGGGGTCGTGAGGTTATTACCTGGGGGGTCGTGAGCTGTCGATCTCCACTCCAAACCCTGCTTTGCTTCCAGCATTTACAATGGTGTTAAATATATAAAAAGTGTTTTTAATTTATAAGGGGGGGTCACCAGTAAAAAAAAAAAGTTTGAGAGCCACTGGGCTAGATGGACCTTTGGTCTGATCCAACATGACTGTTCTTATGGTCTTATCTGTTAAAATAGCACTATGTCTAAACAACAGAGCAGGAGAGGCGGTTACAGACAAACAGGCATCCTTTAGGAATTGGAAGTCCGATCCTACTGAGAAACTAGAAAGGAGCATAAACTCTGACGGGTCAAGGGTGAAAGAACAATCAGGCAGGGCAAAAAACGAATCTGAAGAGCAGCTAGTAAAAGACACAAAAACTAAGAGCAAAACCAGCCAGTCAGTGGGGCCAGTGGACAATCATAGAACCATAGCAGATTAGGGTTGGAAGGGACCTCAGGAGGTATCTAGTCCAACCCCCTGCTCAAAGCAGGACCAACCCCAACTAAATCATCCCAGCCAGGGCTTTGTCAAGCCGGGCCTTAAGGATGGAGATTCCACCAGCTCCCTAGGTAACCCAGGAGCACTCAAGGAAGACAAGGCCGTTGCAGAGAAGCTCTTTGCATTGGCCTTCACTGCAGAGGGAGATTGCCCCACCTGAGCCATTTTCTTTTTAGGTGGCAGATCTGAGGAACTGTCCCGGACTGAGGTGGTGGAGGAGGAGGTTTTGGATTTAGATAGTGGCAGGATGATGTTTTCTATCCCTTTCCTAGCACTTCCTGACATTGTTAGCTTTTCTGACTGCTGCCGCCCATTGAAACGGAACCTGCTTGGAGTGTTCAGCTGCGGTGAGCTTGGGCTCGCACCCGGCACCGGTGGGCCAGATTCTTGGGGTGGAGCCCTGGGAAATGTGCAGTGGCTGGAGCTCCAGAGCGGCTGGGGTGTGTCGTGCAAGGTTGGGAAGGGAACAGTCGGTAGCTCTGAGTGTCTCTCCCCCAGGTCTTCTTCCTGAGCAGCAGAGTTCACCCCGGGGAAACGCCCTCCAGCTTCGTCTTCAATGGCTTCCTGGAGTTCATCCTGCGGGAGGACGATCCCCGCGCCCAGATGCTGAGGCGCATGTTTGTCTTCAAGCTCGTCCCCATGCTGAACCCGGATGGCGTGGTGCGAGGCCATTACCGGTGAGAGCGGTGCTGACTGCGCATGCTGCCCCCGCCCCTGCTGGGCTGGGTTTCTCTCTTGCACACCTCCCTGGAGGCAGAGGCTAGGCTCGCGTGCTGGCAGGAGCGCTGGGGGGCCGGCGATAATGAACAGAGCTAGACGCCAGCTCCGGGGCAGCTGGGAACCAGCCTGGGTTGAGCTGTTGACAGGTTCTGTTTGCATCAGAACCTCCCAGTGAGGCAGGAGCTGAGTTTGGCAGAGTTTAGAGCCCATGACGCTCAGCTCAGGGCCAGCTCTAGTTTGGAGCCTGCTCCATATCTCCAGAGGGACACAAACACGTTTAAAGTCCATGATCCCACCCAGGTGTTTGGTAGCCTCAGTCACTTGCCAAACCATGTGCAGAGCTTAGAGCGAAGGGGCAAGAATCACCGGCCCGGAGCAGAGCTCCAGGTTTTCCTGCCTGAGTGGCTGATCTCCCCAGCGCCTGCCGCGCGCGGTGCTTGTGAGCAGGGCTCCAGCTGGCAGCAGACACTGCTGATTGACCCCAAGATGCAGCCTGCGCAGAGCCTGTTGGTGGGAGGGCTGCAGCTCGCCGCCTCGTTGGCCTTGCGAGAGAGCAGGGCTGTGTCTGACGCACACCTGGCCGCTCCCTTCGAGCTGTGACTTAGTTGGTAGCCGGGCTCTGAGCTGGCCACGGCACCACTATCTGTGAGCACAACCAGCCATTCGTGAAGGGGAGCCGCTCCAGAGTCTGGTAGCAGTGGGTTGTCTCTTGGCCAGGGGCCCCCTCGAGCTGGTACAGGTGAGTGGGGGTGGGCGAATAGGGCAGGGTGTCTGTAGCTGAGCTTTAGGCCCTGCAGCATGGTCTGAGCCCCTGAAGATACGAGCTTCTCCTTGCAGTGACTTAAGCTGAAGGAGTGAGTGCTGCGGGGGGAGAAGGGGAGCCTCTGGGAGGCCTTCTCCTTCAGTAACTCCCCCGATCTCCCTGAAGAGGCAGTGCTGCCCCCTCTGAGTTGCCTCTGTGCCTTGGGAAGGTCTGATGATGGCTCCTTCAGCCTCAGTGGAGCCTCCAGCTGCTTGCTGCATGCTCTGTCCAGCCCAGCATTTGCTGGCCCCCCGCAGGGTGGGGGCGGAGATCCATGGGAAGGACTCTGGGCCCAGTCCCTGCTTCGGCAGCGTGCCCTGAGGCCTGCAGTGCCCAGCAGAGAGCATCCAGCTCTCATGTCTCCCCTTTCCCTTCTGCAGAACCGACGCCCGGGGGGTGAACCTGAACCGCCAGTATCTGAGCCCTGATGCAGAGCTGCACCCTGCTGTGTACGGAGCCAAAGCCGTGCTCCTTTACCATCACATCCACAGCCGTGGCCCATCCGGCGCTCCCGACTGGAGAGCACACGCCTCCCCGCTCACCTCCACCTCGCTAAGCACAAAATCTTCCAACCATTCCATCTGCAACTGCACCCTGGCCCCGGAGGCTCCTCTGTCGGAGCTGGAGAAAGCCAACAACCTCCGCAACCACCCCAGCACCTATCGCACACTTTCTCAGGACCCCCAGCCGCTGGAAGCACCCGCTGCCGAGCTGGGGAACAAGGACCAAGCTGTGTGGATCCTGCCTTCGGAGCCCACCGGGGAGCACTGTGAGAGGAAAGCCGAGACCCCCCTGGAAGCCGTCCTGCCCCAGGAGAGCGGGCTGGCGTACTACGTGGATCTGCACGGGCACGCCTCCAAGCGTGGCTGCTTCATGTATGGCAACAGCTTCAGCGAGGAGAACGCCCAGGTGAGGGCAGGGGCGGTGGCCACTCCGCAGTGGGGGGATTCTGTCACCCTGGTGCCTGCTGCCTCCCCCCGGGCTGGGAAAAGGGGGAGTCCTGCTTTTTAAACCCAGACGTAAATTGAGTTCAGCATGGGGTGAGGCCAGAGGGGGAGAATTCAGGATGGGGGTTGGCACAAGGCTGGCATAGATGCTTGGGGATTCAGGGGCTGCAACAGGTTCAGATTCGGGGGTGTGCACAGGCTGGGGGGAAGCAGGAGAGGTGCATCTGGCTGGAGTGGGGGGCTGGGCTTGTTGACGGGGAGGAGAAATGCGCAGTACAACTCGGGGCCTGAGAGCCTGGTCGTGAGCTGCAGTGACACTGGAGTTCATGGTGCTCCAGTCAGCTGTGTCTCTTAGCAGTACTTGGCTTGCCTCGGGAGCCAGCGGTGTGCCCGCATCATGTGGGCACTGCCTGACCTCTATCTGCTTCTCTCAACCCGTAGGTGGAAAATATGCTGTTCCCAAAACTCATCTCCTTGAACTCAGCTCACTTTGACTTCATGGGCTGCAACTTCTCAGAGAAGAACATGTATGCCAGAGACAAGCGGGACGGGCAGTCGAAGGAGGGCAGTGGACGCGTGGCTATCTACAAGGCCTCGGGCATCATTCACAGGTGTGCGGGCCCCTCGCGGGAGCTCTCCCCAGCCCTTCAGGCTGCTCGCGTAGTGTCAGCACCACCTGGTTTAGTGCAGCGGCTCCCCCACATCACCACGCAGCGGGCACTGGGCGGAACCAGTGCTGTGGCTGTAGAGGAAATGCTCCGTGGCCAGCATATGGGGCCAGCCTGGGGTCTGCACAGGCTCTGCCAGAAAGGCGTAAGCTCCGTTTGATGCCCGGCATAGGCAAGAGCAAGGATTGGTGCCCGCCATGCCCACCCCTCTTGCCTGCCTGTGCCTGGCCCTGCAGTGGGCTGCCCAGCAGTGGGGCCCGGCACAGAGGCTCAGTGTTAGTAGGAACCAGCCAGGACCTGGAATCCCAGCACTAGGGTTCCACCATTTGGCTTCGGTGGCCATAGCTGAGATCTGGCTACTTGCTGTGATGAGCTCAGTCACCCCTGCTGAGAGTCCAGGTGGGAGCGGGTGCTGCTGTGGGTGCCCTGCCCCCACCCGGGGGACTGGCTGAGGCTCCCCTCTCGCTGGGGGTTGCCTGTCTGTTTAGTTTGGCTCTGCAGGCCCTGGGCGTTCGGAGCTGTTTGCATGCAGGTGCCGCTAGCCCTGCTGCTTTCAGGGGCGGGCTCGGGAGCCCCGAAGAAAGGCTCTGGCTTTTCCTGCTACAACTAGAGTGCAATGAGTTCCCTCTCCTGGCTCCCTGCGCCCCGCTTCCTGCAGGGAGTGCTCGGCAGAGCTGGGATGCTTGGAAACCAGTCCTGGTCTCGGCTTGGCTCCTCCCACCTGGAACCACCTCCATTCTTTAGAGGAGGCTGGCTGGCTGCAGGAGGAAGTCGAGCAGCTGGTGGCACCAGGAAGCAGTGTGGACAGGACATAGGACGTCTGCTCTGTCACTGCCCAGCTGTGACCTTGGGCAGGTCCCACTGCCTCCCTGAGCGTCTCTGTCTTGTGTGGGTTTCAGAGCGGAGCCGTGTTAGTCTGTATCGGCAAAAACAACGAGGAGTCCTTGTGGCACCTCAGAGACGAACACGTTTATTTGGGCATAAGCTTTCGTGGGCTAGAACCCACTTCATCAGCTGCACGGAGTGGAAAATGCAGAAAGCTGGATATATATACAGCACGTGAAAAGATGGGAGTTTCCTTACCAAGTTGGGGGTCAGTCTAACGAGACAATTCAATTAACAGTAGAATACGAAGGTTGGAAAAATCACTTGTAGTGGGAATGAGGGTGGCCCATTTCAGACAGTTGACAGGAAGGTGTGAGTAGCCGCAGGGGAAGTTAGTTTGTGTAACGACCCATCCACTCCCAGTCTTTATTCAGGCCTAATTTGATGGTCTGTCTTGTGTAATTAGTCCAGAGGGGCTATGTGTGCAGCAGCCCGCGCGGCGGGGCTCTCGGCGCGTGTGTAATAGAACCAATAACAAGGGACTGCAGCTGTGTGTCTGGCCCCTGCCGTAGAGAGACGGCCCCAGCACCGGCCGTGCTGATGCAGTGGGAGGTGGCTCCCCCGCCAAGGATTGCTTGGGAAGGGGTTTGTAGCAAGACGTGCTGGGAAAGGGCTGCTCACCTCTGCAATGAGGATGGTGGTTCTGGCTGTTCTGCTGTCAGGACAGTGGTCCTGTTTCAGTGAGGGCTGCCGGTGAGAGGTGCCCCTCGGAGATGCTGAGAGGAGTGTCGTGTCGTTTGCTCTGGGTGCATGTCTCTGAAGCCTGGGAATAGTAATGGGGACAGTGCTGGTCCTCGTGGTGTGGATGAAGTGACATGGGCTTCCCTTGTGTTTCCTAGCTACACACTGGAGTGCAACTATAACACCGGGCGCTCAGTGAACAGCATCCCCATGGCCTGCCACGACAATGGGCGGGCGAGCCCTCCACCCCCTCCAACCTTCCCCACTAAGTACACCGTGGAGCTGTTTGAGCAGGTAACGTGACTGGCTTGGTGTGACGAACTGGGACTGTTCTTGCTGGGGTGTGTGAATGCTGACAGGGGAGTGTGACTAGGATGGTCTGCATCGGGGGATGGGAGCCGGCCCAAGGGAACATACCTGAGCTTGTAACATGAGAACCCAGGAGGGGGTTGGAGGTCAGGTGACTCCGGGGCCCGGGAAACCGAACAAAGGCTGTGGGAGGGGTCGCTGAAGCCAGAGTGCTGGAAGCAGGCTGGAAGCAGGCTGGAAGC